AAGGAAGGAAGGAAGGAAGGAAGGAAGGAAGGAAGGAAGGAAGGAAGGAAGGAAGGAAGGAAGGGTTCAAACGTTACGGTCAATCAATGGCAGAATGAAGGAATTGCTGGGTGTGGTTGTCTCACATCTGCATTGTATCTGGAGGTGTATTGCACTAAGCCCTGGGTCTCATCACACAGCAGCAAAGCCTTGCTTTTGATCCCGAAGTGGACGCCTGCAGTCCTCCCGCCAAGCCTAAGCTAGTCCTCCCTTGCTGTCCCAGCATTTGTCTGTCGGGCAGGGTCTGGGGGCCCTGTTCCTTCTCACACCCGGCCAATAAGGAAGCCACTTTTCAGCTCCGATCTTTCATCCCACTCATCCCATCGGTTGATGGTTTCTGCCTTCAGACAATCCCAGCTTGTTTCATCTTGCCTATTGCTCCTAAGATGGAGCCAGGTTACCTCCATAACCTTCCATTCTGCTACCCCGAACAAGTTGGTGCAATGAGAACAAGGGCACTTCAGGGATGGCTGAAGGTACCACAACTTTTCTTTTTCCACCCAGATGTCTCCTCATGAAATTCAACCTACCAATTTGAAACCAAACACCTTTAATTACCCACGGGGAGTTCAGCAAGCCTTTCACTTCTACCTAGGTGAGGCTTTTCCCCGCCTGGAGTGAAACTGGACTAGCTGCTGCAAAAGGGCCACCAAGAGCCATGTCAGACTTGCTCGGAGGAGCCATAAGGTACCCGGGGCTGCTGGACGCCTTCAGCTGCTCCGCCTGCAGCTGCGGTGGCCATGCTGGCCCCGGGGCTGGGCGCTGGGTACTCACTCTTGCCTGCTGCAGGATGGCTTGCGCTTGGGACTCCTGGGCAGAGACCAGGGGCCCTTTGGAGCTGCTGTCTCCTCCCCCGCTGAACCGGAACTGCAGGGAGCAAGAGCAGAGAGCCACGGGTCAAGGCTTGGTTCCACAACGTGACACCCAGCAAAACACAGCCACGCACAAAACAACAAAGCAAAGGAGTTTTGCAAGTTACAATCACTCAGCAACCTTGTTGTACCAGAGGGCGCAGATGGCTTCCTCTCCCTGCTCTTCTCCAAGGCCCAAAGTCCCACGCAGAACAAAAATGGTGGGAGGCTCCTACCCCAGATGCTAGGACTCTGTTCATCAGCCCTGGTCCAGCCCACCTGTGCCCGACACCCATGGAGGAGGTGGAGAGGAGGACAGCTGAAAGCCGCCTGCTGACGGCTGACTCCCAAGTCCTTGGAGAGCCTCCACAGCAGCTCTTCACGCTCCTCCCACAGCCCAGTGGAGCCTTGAAGGCACTCTCGGCTCAACCGTCGGGGGGGGGGGAAGAAAAGCATGCATCCCCCAACAGGACCTGCCAGCAGAGAAGGAAAGAAACATGGGGCCTTGAGTGCTGGACCACAGAACTGGGCCAGTAGGAGATGGTGGCCCAAGGGGTTAAAAGATGCAGAGAAATTAGGCTGTGCCCCTCCCAACACTCTTTAAACAGGGCAATGGCCAGGGCTACCACCATGGTTTTAAGGGCTAACATGGGCCTGAAATGAGTCCAAATCACTCATTTTGAATGGCCTAGAGCTCAGCTGACTCCTCGCAAGCATGTTCCCCCAAACAACAGATATGTCTGACGTGAAAGAGCAACCCTGTGCATCCAAGAAGGTTTGCTGTCTTTCTCCACCTCATCGCCCAACAGGGAGCCAAGCCTTGACAAGAGCACTAGTTATGTTAATCATTCTCTCCCTGTCCAGAACGTTTCATCTCCTGCATTTTCTCCCTCCATTATTTGCTGGTTTATGGTTCTGCAGGCTGCAGCATTTCCCCAGTCGGTTAAATCTGAGGCAAGGAGGGGTGCACAGGCATTTGGCTGCCCGCAGCATGGCACTGAAGCTTCAGAAGTGGCACCAGGATGTGCAAGGATCTCGCTTCCCCTCATTTTGACGTTAATCATTCTGATCCCTATTTCCTGGGTTGAGGTGCCAGCTGGATTTAGTGATCCTGTGGTTCCACACGTCTCTAAATTTTGTGAGGCCCAAGAAAATGTCCAAGCATCTGAAAAATGTGCATGTTAGGTTAACGTATAAAACTATGCTTTTAGGAGAAATGTTTCGAAACACATATTTTGGTGATGATTTCAACAATTATTTTCAAATAAATGTGGAAATAGAGCTGAGAAGTTCACGGGTGCACATGTGGGAAAGTGAGGTGGATGAGAAACAGTTGTAGAGCGAGAGTAGCCAAGTCTGAACACGAAGGTCTGGATGAAGAGGGCTAGTAACAGACGGGCCTGGCGCTTCTACTGCATGGGCTGAATGCCATTTTTTAAAAATAATTTCAGCTGAATGTTCAAGAGGATGGAGGAAGAGATGGAGAGTGTGGAGGAAACAAAGAGGGGGCAGGAGAAGAAGGAGGACCGGCGGGTTTCTCTGGGCGAAGGGGAGAGGTCTCACAGGGTGAGTGGCTCGCTGCTCTTAGGAGCATCACTGGCCACACCACAGAGGGATGCTGACTGGACTCTGGCTGCAGCAGCATTTGGTTGACCTCTGCTCCTTGTCTTCTAAATCCTATCCCTCCCCCCACCAATCACTAATCAAGTGCAATTCTGAGTAGCTGTTTTGGCCTACGCAATGGGGCTGTGCAGGGCTTTGGACTCAAGGGGAAAGGGTGGCTTTTCCCCCTTGGAATACGAGGCGCTGCCAAGACCCCCCATCCAAGCCAAGGCACACCTGGGAGAACCCCTTCTCCACACAGCCAGAAGAGGCAGAGGATGTCTCTGGAGTACACCGACCCTCCTCCGTAGGTGATCTTCTTCCCACTCCTTCTTCTGCACTCAACTGGTCTGTACTCAACCGAATAAGCAATTCCAGAAAAGCTTTGCTGGCTCAGCCATACTCACCGGCAGCATCAGCATTGTCCCGGGCGGGCCTGGCAAGCCATCAGCACCAGGAAGCCCTGGACGTCCAGGTGGACCCTGCAGAAGGAGGACATGAAAGACAGCATCAGCCATGGAAAAGTTGGCACAAGACTTCAGGCTGGCCTGAGAGGCCATCGAGGCATGTCAGCGGGTGGTAAGAAACCCAACCATCATCTGAGTTCCAGACAAGCACGTTCAGTCAGAATCTGGTTGATCTGATGTTGTGTGAACACGGGAATTGTGCTTTGTTGACCTGGGCCTGGGGCTAAGCATGAATGAATCCTGCCACTGAGTGTGAAAGTGAGTCGTCGGAGCTGACAGACTGGGAAAATTAAACCATGGAAGAAAGAGAAGAAGGTCCTTCTTCAGCCACCGCCTGCCAAGAAACCTATCAATGCACTGAGCTGGGAAGATGTGATGGAGCGTGTCTACAAAGCGGGAGGCGATGTGTTGGACTACAGTAACGCAGCAGGTGCTCAGGAAGGAGGGAGCACGTTCCAGGAAGTGGGGCGAGACAAGAGACAACACAGTCTGGACCTGGATAGTGGGAAGAGGAAGAGATTTAGGATAGCCACTCCCTAGAATCTCCCAGGGTAGATCCACTAGGTTAGAGTAATAGATTTAGTCTGGCAAGATCCTGTCTATAAGACGTAAGCAATAAAAGAGCTGAACTGGCCGGACTGTTTCTCTTCGTTCTTGGGCTGGGCCTGACAGAAGCTTTGCCAGCCCCACCACCTGTCACATAGCAAAGGGCTGCCAAACCCTTTGAACCAAAATATCTGTAAGGCTTTTGGATCATTTAGAAAAGGTCACACCAATTTGTGGGAGAGGTGGGGAAGAGAGTAAATCATAGATAATGGATTTTTCTTAACAAAAAAAAATCTGTTACCTCTTGTGTTTAATATGTTTCATCAACTGAAAGAATATTTGCTACCATTCTTTAAAACTGTGCTCCGAACCTGACATAGGACATCATATTCAGTGTTAAATACAACTTTGCCCAACCTGGTGGATGTTAACTTCCCTGATCCCTGCCCCGTGGCCGTGCAGGCCACGCCGAATGGCGCTGAAGCCGAACCCATCTGGCGTCTCTCCCGCACCTCCTATGATGCCCTCCCCAACCCCTTTTCTAACAGTTCAAGAACCAGAAGATTTGCTCTGGCCGATGAATACCCCAACTGAGGCTGAGGCGGAAAGGAGTCTGGCAGGGTGGCTGGGTTCACACATGCTGAGCTGGGTCACTCCAAGGCCTGGTGTTGCATTGGCATCACACGCTCAGCTTGTTTTCTGACTGGGGCCTGCTGCCCAACCCAGTTCCTCTGGGGCATTTAGGGCATGGGCCATAGCATGAAAGCAGGAAAGGATGCAGGGTGTGGGGCACAGTGTGAATGCAGCCAGCAGGTGCAGTGTGTTGCATGGACCCATCTGGGGATGGTGGTCCATAATCCAGCTGCCAGGGTAAAAGGGCAGGCTGCACACCAGAAGGTGCCAAGTCCATGCCTCTTCAATGCGCCACCACGTCGGCCCTGAATGAGGCCCCTCCTTTCGCAGGGGTTAATTCCTCAGGGAGGGGGCAGAAGAAAGAGACTCTCCCTGGAAGGCACAGACAGTTGCAGGGAGCAGTAACTCAGGCAATGCTTCAAAAAATAGTCAATAAAGCATAAAAGAACAATAAATCTCACCATCATCAATGCTCACTAAATGATTTAAACACTAGCCCTTCCTTCCTATTTTATTTGATTTCCAGATTTGAACTCAGGCCCTGCATTCATTCATTCATTCATTCATTCATTCATTCATTCATTCATTCATT